ATGAATGAAAAGGGTAAAACTAACTTAAAGCAACTAACAGACTAACTTATACATAAACAATCTGTCAGCTTTCAGAGTCATACTGAGTCTAAAGTAACAAACTCCCATAGCCACATTGATACGTATAAGTATCTAACAGAAAACGAAGCATTTCATGATCATGGCTGGAATGTTTTTGTTACCCGCAACTCAGATGGTGTTTTTCGCTTCAACGTGGTGGTTGAGATCTTAGATACACCACCTCCGCCAACCACGCCGCCAAAATGAAGATCATTAGACGCAGGCAACTGAGCGGCCACAGCGACCTTAGTCATCCCGTTCCCGTCCTAAGCGCAACTGATGCGTGCAACAGTAACTATCAACACTACATATATTTGACACTAAATTGCAGGCGAACAGCTCAAATCCGGAGAAAAAATCATATACATTGATTTTTGAGGGACAAAATCTACTAGGGTTTCAAAATAAGTTACGTTTTCCTCTCGATTTGACTTGAGGGACAGCGGCTCAATTAAATAAACTGTCGGACGTGAGAGAGAGAGAGAGAGAGAGAGAGAGAGAGAGAGAGAGAAAAGGAGCCATGCCATAATTCATTTGAATATTTGGGTTACGTGTAAATTATAATCATGTGTTTCACTATTTTAATTTTTTCGTCCTCTTCGAACTGTGTTTTTCATTTCTGTCTCGTAAGTTTAAAAAAATGTTACACAAAAGTTCTTTTCATATAAAAGGACGGAATTGAAACACTTTTTTGTAAAACATAAAGGGCCTTTTTGTTGCGAAAAAAACCTTTTTGTAACATTTTTTCAAATATACGGGACGAAAATCGAAAACACAATTCGAAGAGGACGAAAAAGTTAAAAGTGGTGAAACATACAAGATTAAAATTGTAATTTACTCTTTGGGTCCACAAGTCACAGTTAGTTTTGCGATAAACTGAGGGGAAGTATGTTACTTTGTAAATAATAAATTAATATGAATCTTAATTAGTATATTTAGTAATTTTTTTAATTCAATTGCTTTTTCTTGTTGCTCTCATTTGCATATGTATCAGATGTCGTTGGTAGTATTGAGATGACGTTGTGCGACAAAAATTTCTTAATTGCATATGCAATTATCAAGGACGAGAGCGAGTACAGGTACGACTGGTATCTACAGATGTTGAGACGGATGAGAGCGAGTACAACCACGACTGAGTTCTACTTCTGTTAGGGTCTAATGTACATCCTAATGTCATTATCACTGATAGGGAGTTAGGCTTGATTACTCATATTCAGTGTAATTTTCCAGAAGCTGTCCACTTCCTTTGCACGTGACACATTAACAATGATGTGAAAGACAAAGCCCATCGACTATTTGAAAAAAAAAATAAGGGATTTGCTCAGAAGTTCGCGCACGACATGTGGAAGAAGGTATTCAAAGCGGCTACAGAGGCTGAATACAACAATGTCGTAAGTGACCTGTATGTTCGGTACGCGAATTTTCAGATTGTGTTACAATATTTGGAGAAGCGCACGACATGTAGAAGAAAGTTGTCGAAACGGCTACAGAGGCTGAATACAACAATGTCGTAAGTGACCTGTATGTTCAGTATGCGATTTTCAAATTGTGTTACAATATTTGGAGAACAACTGGTTAGTCCACAAGGAAACATTTGTCAAAGCGTGGACGAATTTCGTAACCCATTTTGGTAACACAACTTCGTGTATGGTGGAGAGTTTCCACGTTGTGTTGAAGCAGTGGCTTAACACGTCGACCGGTTCGCTCGATCCAATGTGGGAGAAGGTTGATAAGGAGATTGAGTCTCAACTAACTCAAGTCAGGTACATTTATTAAGTTACACATATTAACTTTGTTTTTACTCCATTGATTATGAATTTCATTGTGTCTAATGTTATTTAATGTATCATCAGGTCCACACATGAGTCTTCAAGATTTAGGCTAACTGTGCAATATACGAGATTTTCTTTCGCATACGTGTCACTACAGGTCTCACATTATTGTCTTAGTTTATTGAATGTTGAGCTTAAGCGGATGCGAGGAATGAGCGATGCGCTTTCCTCGCACTGCGGCTGTGTACTGAGATACACTCCTGGACTTCCTTGTGCACGTGAGCTAATGGCGGCAGACATTATTGGGGTGTCGATTACTGTCCATGATATTCACATGTTCTGGAGCATACTAAAGGTGTTAGAAGAGTCAGGTATAATTACGAGATTGATAAACATATAACATTTATATAAACTTCATGTACATGATAGATTTTTTCTAGTTTATTTTTTCAGTACAATTCTTTAAATATCAGCTTTTATACTTGTAGGGATTGGTAAGCAGAGTGGATGGACAAATTATCAATTTTTTCAGAACCTTATCGACGAGGTTGAAGCGGCTGACATTGTGACAATGCGGCACATGAATCACCTCATCTATGCTCACCTTGACCAACAAGGTTATACATAACCTGCAGTGAAGGAAAATATGAATGGTCGACCCAAAAAGACCAATTCGACCAAGCGTGGACCATCGAAATAGGAGTATAGGGACATAGGTCGTCCGATGGTGCATACGAGCAGTTCTTCGTGTGTCCCGACAAGATCGTCTTCTCTCCCTTCACAAGAGGTAAAAGGTGAAATATTTTTTTTTTTGTTTTATCTGAATGTTAACTAAATTACTTATATAAATTGTGACGTGAAATTATTATGATATTACAGAGACTAGGCCGAAAAATATATTTGATTTTGCACATTGGAAAAAATTCTTTGGGTAGTTTTAAAGTACATATAGAGCTACCTAGATGTGAAAGCGGATGGCAACTGCGGATTTCGGGTGCTCACGGATCACGTGTAGAATAACGAGGAGATGTGGTTAGTGGCAAGAGACAACATTGCAAATGAGGTTGCAGATTACCGTGAAAGGTACAATCATATATATTATGGTGACATTGACAGTGTATTAAGGCGAATAAGATGGCATAGGGCCCTTGTGATGACGGGCACTGGATGAAAGTTGTAGACGACATGTTCCCTATTGCTACACTTTCAATGCAGTTGTCATTTTGTTAGGCCTTGGTCCCAGAGGTAACGATGTCAGAAATTATTGCTGGACATTATTGCCGCTTAGTGCATGATCCACGGACACTCGACCATAACGCGAGATTGTCATGTGTCATATTGGTTATAATGAACACTACACTACTCTGGATATATCTCCTAATTTTCCGTTACCGTCTATTTGTTCTTTCTGGTTTAGATACCGAGATAGAACGTTGAAGGCTGGGAGAGTTTGTACCGTAACAGGCTCGAGTGATGGAGTATCATTCTTAATGGACCTTGATATATTATGATATTTGGTCGTGCTTATTATTGGATTGTGCACTATTTTTTATCATTACTTATACGTTGATTGTTATGCATATTTGTGATTGACTTGAGACCGAGTATCTATAAGTTGATTTTTATGGATTTTTTTTTACTTGGAATGTAGTATAACATATGGA